CTGCTGTCCCATCGTCTTACACAACAGCATTGGCTTAGGAGGCAGAGGAGGGGCCGAACCGGCGTTGCCCGCACAAGCAGTTTTCCCAGTGATGTCAGTCAGTCCGAGGAAGGGGCTTCTCCTGAGGAGACCTCCAGGTAAGTGTGTGTGTGCAGGGCGTATATGGAGGGGTTTGCAGGGTATGTGTGATGTGTGTGGAAGGGGTGTCCTGTGCATGGAGGGGATGTGCAGGGGTGTGAAGTGCATGTGCCATGATGTGTGTGACGTGTGTGGAGGGGGGCATGTGGTGTGTGTGTGAATGTGTGTAGATGGGGTGTGCAGGGCGCCGAGTACATGTATTTGATGTGTTGTGCTGTGCATGGCGGGGTGTGCAAGGGTGTGAGTGCATGTATATGATGTGTGTGTTGTGCATGGAGGGGTGTGCAGGGCGTGAGTGCATGTGCATGATGTGTGTGATGTGTGTGGAGGGGTGTGCAAGGTGTGAGTGCATGTGTATGATGTGTGTGATGTGTGTGAAGGGGTGTGCAGGGTGTGTGATGTAGGGTGTCTGGGAGTGTGTGTGTGACTGTGACCCCTCCTGCCAGGAGCATCACGTACCCCAGAAGTTTCTTGTTGGAGAAGGAAAATAAGAATTTGGTGTCCTTGTTCCCTGATGTAGGAGGCTTCTCCAACTTCTGCTCTTCCTCCATCTTCAGCAGGGAGTCGGGTTTGCTGTTCTGAAAAGCAAACCCAGGACCATTGTTAAGTCCCACACAGGATTCCAGTGGGCAGAGGCAGTGGGACCAACCGGCCTCCTCCCTCTGAACACGTCATCCAGGGACCCACGGACCTGTAGGACCTGTCTTGGGAGTGTGAGCTCAGCCCAGGGTTGGGTGAAGGAGGGCAATGCCATCAGTCAACTCAAAGGGCAAGCAGCTCAGCCTCAGGCCAGAATGCTCCCATAACAACCCCATGGGAAGTGGCCCCTCCAAGGTCATACACATACCCAGACCTGACCTGGGGACAGGTGGACACACAGCTGTACATGCCCTACAAGAACAGGTATGTACCTCTGCTCACAACACCAAGCCCACAAACGCCCCCACACACCACCTCTCATAAATGCAGCGCTCCCTGAAAGTAGACTCACTCACCCACATGTGCATGCAAACACACAGGTGCGCGCACACACACACATGCATGCCCACATATGTGCACATACAAACACATGTGTGTGCACATGCACATGCACACACAGGGGCATACACATGCACGCCCACAGGCATACATCTCACCTTGTACTTCCACTTGGCCTCTGACTTGCTCTTAGTTTGCTCTCGGATTTCCAGCCTCTCCACATCGTTCTGTGTGCTGATTGCCTCCTTGTTGGGCACACTCAGGACGCTCTTTGTGGCCTAGAAAACAGCAGCCATGACTCAGTGGTGGACATGGGAGGGCAGGGAGCTACCTTAGGCTACAGGACAAAACAAGAATCACGGAGTCCCTCTCTCCTCCTGGCCCATATGCAGCAGCTCATCATCCATCCATCCATCCACTATCAATCCACCCACCCTTCTATTCATCTATCCATCCACCCATCCACCACCTATGCACTCACCCATCCATCCACGCACCCTTCCATCCACCAACTATCCATCCACCTGCTCTTCTTTTCCTCCTCCCTCCCTCCTTCCTTCCATCATCCATCTGTTCATTCATTCATTTATCTACTCTCTTTGCCTTAAGCAAGGGAAACCAGGTGTCCCACTGCAGCCCTGCAACACCGGTCCTGGTGGTCGCAGACCTCCTGGAAGGTTAACAGCCTTCCGCCAGCAGCAAATCACTCAATGAGACCTGAACTCAGAAACTCATGGCCCCTGAAGCCCATTATTTAAGACCTTCTGATTAAACTTGTGGGTCCTCAGGGCCAGGCCTGCCTCTCTTGCTGCCCACAGGGGCTCGGGCCCCCACTGCCAGTCTTCCTCCTGCTCCCCACTGCCCTCCACTTGGTGCCTCACTCACCTTCAGATCTCAGCCAATGTCTGGGTCCCGGGAAGATTCAGCCAGCTCACTCCCCAGGGTGACCCTCCATGCTGCCACCCTGTCCCAGCACAGACACTGCTGCCTTTGTCGGGACGGTCTCTCCCCAGCTGCCCACCACACTCAGCTTGGGCAGAGCCCATCTGCCCTGGGTCCCAGGCACAAGAACAGGCAGCTGCAGCTCCATCCCACAGGCCTGGCCCCAGAGGTGTCTGCAGGCTAACTGACCACAGGTGGGGAGGGCAGCCACTCACCTTGCCCTTCTTAGGCGGCTCGATCTTGGTCAGTGCCTCCTTGGTGTGGGCCTCCAACAGGTCCAGGTTGGGGATGGTGGGCGAGGCTGACCCCCTACACTTCTTCCCTTTCTTCTTGCCCCCATCCTTGAGCTTCAGGGATTTGGGGGGCTTTGGGGGCTTGGGAGGTTTGGGGGGCTTGGGGACTTTGGATGGCTTGGGTATCTTCATGGTTTTGGAAGTCTTTTTTTTGGACACTTTCTCCAGGAAGGAGCGAGGAGGGCTGGCTTCAATGGGGGATGGAGGTTCCTCCTTCTCTCGGTCCCCAAAACAGACCTCATTCGAGGAGATCGCAGAAGTCACTTCTGGTCTGGCAGCCTTGGAGGCATTCTGAGGAAAGGAAAGAGGTAACCAACCATCTCCTTTCAGAAGGGGATCATGGCCCAGGCCATGGGAGACACTCAAGCAGAGAAGGAACATGCATTTACACCACTGTGTGTACACTCACATCTCTCTGTACCATCCACATGCCACAGCACATCCATCTACACCATCATCTGTGTGTACACTCACATCCAACTCTACCATCCACATGCCACAGCACATCCATCTACACCATCATCTGTGTGATACACTCACATCTCTCTATACCATCCACATGACACAGCACATCCATCTACACCAGTGATGGCGAACCTTTTGAGTTAGGCGTGTCAGCATTTTGAAAAACCCTAACTTTGGTGCCGTGTCACATATAGAAATGTTTTATGAGTTAGGCGTGTCAGCAAAGATTTATATTTTTGATATTTATTTTATATATTTAAATGCCATTTAACAAAGAAAAATCAATGAAAAAAATGAGTTCGCGTGTCACCTCTGACACGCGTGTCATAGGTTCGCCATCACTGATCTACACCATCATCTGTGTGATACACTCACATCTCTCTATACCATCCACATGACACAGCACATCCATCTACACTATTGTGTGACATGCCTACCTCCATCTACACCATCATCTGTGTGATACACTCACATCCAACTCTACCA